GAGGGTATGACGCGAGAGAGGACATTCTCAGTTGTCGGATTACGTTTAACTCCTCTAATTGATTTATACTTGTCCGTGGAATCTAGTCATTGCGAGGAGATCCGAACAAAGGCACGTCTTACCCTACTTAAGTGCAGGGGACTTCAATAAATGAAACCGACACGGAAGATACCGGGTCCACTTAAGGGAGAGCTTCCAACGCTAACAACATTTTCCACTTTCCTCCTCTGGCTTGAGAGAGGTCCTTACTTAGCGAACGTAGAAAAACATTAAAACAAACGAGAAAAGGAGACGTCAAGCGTGCAGAAATTCCTAATTCACGAGCTTCGAAAGTCTCGCCGCGGAACTGAAAATAGTCTCCGGTTGAAAGTTCTTTAACAGATAAACAAATTAATAAGATTGGCAGGAAGGGAATTTAAGGATCTCGGAAATTTAGAGCGACTTTTACCTACTTAAAAGTTATTAAATCAATACATAGGTTAATCAATTTTACGGGAAACGAATTTAACCTCAGAGATATCGATGGCTCGGCGGTTGAAATTACTTTTTCACGCTCATCGAAAAGCCCTCGATATAGGGAGCTTTATTCGAGCCGAATGGCCGATCCGTTGACCGGTCCACTTTGAAACTTTCTTACCCGATATTTAAATGAATAAACTTTTGGAGATTCGAACCTCGTGATTTGGGAGATATCCTAGGGATTTAGAATTTCTTCTCCACGCGATGTTCATCGACACAGGGAGCTTTGTTCTTGTCGAAAGTTCGAGCTGTGGCCGGTCAAGAGCCCCTCGAGCTTTTGTAGTCGCCCTTAAAGGGCGATCTAAAAGTTGCGGTTACGCCGTAAAACCCGGGCTTACTCGGCCGTTTTAAGGCTTATGAAACGTACCGCAAGACATAACGGCGACTTTAACAGTGGAATGGACAATAGAGAGGGAGTCCCTCCGCGTTGCGAGGAAAGAATGTACGGTGAGTGTGTCGCGATTCGATCGCAGGTGCGCATACACGTCGAGAGAAAATACCAGGAGAAAGAGCCGCAACGGCGGGAGGGACAGGGGAAGAGAGAAAATAAATACGTGTCGAGTGACAAAGCGTCGATGCACTTGAACCGTCGTTAACGCACTCGGTGGGCTCGTGAGTATAGACTTTAAAAAGTGACTTGAACCGCCAGGACTAAAAAATAAAAATGCATATTAACTCCGTACGTCTTCCTCCCCGCAGTGAAACTTTTAACGCCGTTAATCTGGGGAAGAAATCCGAAATTTCGTTCCGGGCGAAATGTGTTAATATCTTGAAATCCACTTTTTAAACCGCTTGCAGAATATCCACAGCGTTCTTCTGCAATCGTCTTATAGAATTGGCTTAACTAGGATATTCGTCTTCAATTGACGGACATAATCGTTTTAGAAGGTAGAAATCCCGCGCGGAACTTCTCCGGGAATTGTTAAGCCGATTTCGAATCGAGCGGATCGAGCCGCGTCGCCCGGAGAAGTGACTTAATTAATAATCGCGGGGGGTAATCCGCGCGAGAAGTTGCGGCTTTTCATCTCGCGGAAGTTCACGGTCGAGGTATAAAGTGGCTTTAGAGTCGGCGGTCCGCCCGGCGGAAAGAAATGTCCCGGCTGAATCGCCGGCGATTACTCGTAACTCGTAACGCGTCGTTAAACCCGCAACGAGGAAATACGATTCGCCGGATGTTCGCCGATTCGAACCGATCGGTGGATTCGTGCCGTTGAACCGACGAATTCCGCAGGGGAAACCAGCTTTACGAGCCAAGAGAATTCCGCCCGATCCTCGCCTCGCTCCTGACCTTTCCCAGAGAAAATTCTTCGCCGCGAGAGAGAGAGATCGCGACCGTACATAAAATGTTCATATTCCGATCAGGGATGCTGCGCGTCTCCCCTGGACCTTTCAAATCGCGGGAGATACTGCTACCCTGGGCAATGAAATTTTCATTTTACGTCGAATCTCTACGGGTCCCTGTTTTTATTTTCTTATTGTTTCATTTCCCCTTTTACGGTTTCCCTATATCGAATGTAGGGTCCCATTTTCGCCGCGAGGATTTTATGAAGGGTCACCGGGCTCGTAAGGACACCCGTAATGGATGTACTTGGAAATAGAATACCTGTATCGATCCTTCCTTTTTACAAGAAAGAATTAAACTATGTAGGATTTCTAAATTTCGCTAAGGAGACCTCTTTGACGCCACTTTCACATACCCTTAAGAGATACTTCCCCGGCGTTACATTTTCCTGAAGATCCACCGAGACCATTTCCAGGGTACCCTGAAGCATCGCGATAGGTTTAAAGTCGCTGCACCACTTTTCGCAGCTGCAGACTTTCCAACCGTGGATGTACCTTTAATTCTTAATTAAATTAATTAGCATCCTGTCCCGACCATTGCTTCAGGGAGCATTAACTGAATTACCGGATCCGTGATATGATATTCAGAAAAAGGCGCACCTAGGGGTGGGATTGAAAAAGGGGGAAACGACGCTCTTCGGCGTCGCGGCAGTTCGTTTGAGATTGAACTCTCTGGGTGGACGCGTTTGCTTTGAGCTTAAAAACTTGGAGGCGAGAGGGAACCTAAAGGCAACAAATTCTCGTGTATTCTTTTTTATACCAAATGAAGTGTCCGACAACTTTTTCTTCTCTCAGGGTATATACAATTTAGTCCTAATAAATTCCCAAGATATTCCGCGGAATCGAGGAAGAGTTCGCCGTTTCTGGGCCTGCGGAGGTGGAAGAGTCGCTTTCGGGTCGAGTTTTGTCCGCGTCCAAAATCGGCATCTTTTCGAAGAAAGCTGCGACGATGACGTCGGTAGAGGATCCGTGCGTGCACGATAGAAAGTCCCCAGCTCGGTGACAAGAGAGGGCCCACTTCGCCGACCCGGAAGGAACTCGGCCGACGAAGTGGCCCACTTCCGGCGGCGTCTCGAAACTCCCGAGATCGCGACCGTCGGTTTCGGCATGGGCACATGTTTCGCCGAAGCGAAGGAGAAAATTTCCCCCTCGAGCCGAGAAATCGGCGTTGCTTTCCACCTGCTTTCTTGTATAAAAACCTCTCCCTCCGAGCGCTCGATCGACTCCGGATTTTCCATGAAATTTGGAAACGATCGATTAGTCGATTATCGAGAAACATGGTATAAAGTGATGTTAAGGTAAAATGTAACCCCCGCTCAAATCAGTCGATTGGAATAAGACACGAGATATCCACTTCCATAAGCTCGAAGTGGATATTTCCTTTTTTATTCTTGGGTGCCTCATTTAGAAATTTGTATAAATACCGGGATGGGTTTTCTCGAGGTCTCACGATCCATCTGAAAATCATCCCTCGTTATTTCCTCCCGGAGCTCTGCCCGGGATCCGCACGTAAGGATGCCTGCGAGGCGCATTAATCAGGTCCAACTTCCACTTCTAAATTGCGGAGTAAAAAATCCAGGGAAGGTCGGTGCACTTCTCGGGGAAGGGCGGACACGAGAGAAATGATTTCGGCGGGGTTAATACTACGGGAGCGTAATATAAGGGACGGGAGGCGGTCTCGCCATCTTGGGGAGCGATACGAGTGGGATACTCTGCGCGAAGGATGCTCCGGTATCCCGGCTCGTTAAGAATTATCTTGGAGCCATTTCGCCAGCCGAGGGGACTGGCTACGCACTTTTAGAGGTGGCCTTTTACGGCTCGGCCAAGTGTCGGGGACCGAAGCCGATTCGACGAAACGACGTCCGAAAGGTTCGTATTAACGACGCGAGATGGACTCGCGAGGGGCGGTTTTTTACCGCCGCTTAAAAAAGGACATCTCCTAAACGGGCGATAACGAGCGCGGGGTAGGAACGCCGATTCCTCCAGGGCCTTAATAGATTACAAATTGAAAGGCCGGCTCTGCAATTTATCGGAGACTTTTTACTTTTCCAATATGGCGGAGATTCATTGGACGAGATGAGCTCCTCGTCCCCTAAGAGGATAGGGCGACCGAAGGTGCACGCCGGAGAGGGATTCATGAATAATATGAATAATCTGATAGAGAACGTTGTAGGTAAAAATTCTGGAAGGTGCTACGTGATAATACTGCCGTGATTTATGGCACCTGGAATAGACCGCTTGTAACCGGGCTTTTTGGAGCTTACGTCTCTGAGTCGCTCGGAGGACTGAACAATGTCCACGTGGATCGTCCCAGTTTTTTCGGGGGAAAATCCGAGTGGACCCTTTGAAAAATAATGTATTCCGGAAGATCGACGAAGGAAGGAAAGCGGGAAAAATGGAAGGACTGGAGGTAGGGGAGGAAGTTCCCTAAGTGGTCGATAACGAGTCCGGCATAAAGGTGACTCCTTGGAGACGACTCGGGAACCTCGGAAAGAGCGGAGCCGAAGCCTCGGGTCCATGAATAATGTTCCAAAGGTGCATTAGAATATTCCTACGCCATAACCGGCGGCGATAGAGGTAGGTGGCATTGTTAGCCTGACTTCCGGCCGAATTAAATTTCCACCTTCGGCCTGCGCAACCGGAGTTGGAAAATTCGACAAACGGGGGCTGAGAGATTCCCCCTCGGAAATTTTCGACCCGGCCAGCATCGAATTGTCACCCTGTCCAATGTATTTCCTGAAGCTGCCTTTTAACCGTGCAAATGCGTGCACGAACGATTTTTATACACGGAACTTAAAGGGATGCCGAAGTGGCATCCGACGAAGTCAACCGCTCGTTAAACTTTCCACCGAACTGGGTCTGCCGAATCGTTTGAAATTTTACAACGTGAATTTGGTTTGCGCCAAGTTTAAAATGCGAAATACCGCGCTGTATCTCGAAAAGATATCCGGAGCTGAGTCCTATCCCAAGCCGAGTGATAAAGTATCGTCGGACGCGGCGAGTAGACGCTTGGAATATTTTCCCACCGGTGGAAATGTCCCACCTCGCGTTTAATGCAAACCCGAAAGGGACACGGCGGTAAAGGGGAATTAATGTTTTCAGACGTAAAGGACGATTCAACATCGCTGGATGTACTGAGGATGCGCCGTGATTGCTGCAACGGGGGGCTTGCCTGCGCCGTTGTGTGGGTGACATCGAGCTGTCTCCTCCTCCTCTCCTGGACGTCGACGAGCAACGCCGGTAAGTTTCGTTTTCCATTCCGTGTCCCCTAATCAGGCTGGAATTATTAATGCCCGAGCGATGCCCTGGCCCTCCTATTACCAAACAATGGGACATCCCGACGATTCGGTCGGGGTATAAAACCCGGGAGGAAAAACGAAAAACCGACGCCCGATGCGGACGTGGCGCGCCTCCAAAGTGGCCCAGCGACCGCTTTTGCGATGCACCCTGCGGACTCATTCGACAACCTCTCCTACCGAAATTCCTCCTGGCCTTTGTAGCATAGCTTTTTCTCAACGGTGTTACAATATTTCCGGAGGCGAGCTCGCCGATAATGGATGCCAGTGACCCTCTCAATGAACGTTTAGACGTGACAAAAGGTACCTAGCCGTTGCCGAAATTTCTCATTCCGCGTGCCGCTTCCGTCCGATGTGACACTCGTGGAGGAAGGAAAGTAAACAGGGAAAAGCGAGAGGACAATCGCGGTGGATCGGCAGGCGCCAAACTCGTACCCCTGGAACTTAGTTCATATGCATTATGAGCGGATGGTAATTTCATACCCGGGGATAGTTAGTTTGTATGCATTATGTACACGCAACGATGTCGTGCCGGAGCGAGTGAACGCGTACGTATCACGGCTGCGCGTGATTTACGGCGTTTTGGAGTTAGCACGTATTTAGTGCTTACCGTAATCCCGGTCTACGTCCGGGAAAAGCGGACGAGTAGGATGATTTACGGTAATGAGAGTTACCGCGAACTCATTCCGCGGGATGATGACTTCTTTTCCGACACTTTTCCCGAGGAGGTGCAAGTGGAATCGTTCGTACTCCCTGGAGTACTTACCCCACCGCGATGGACGCACTCTCCTCTAACCCTTTGGCATTACGCATCGTTACTGATGGTTCCATACGCCGATGACCATTTATTTCCCGGGATCCGTCATTGTCCAGGAGAGAAAAGTCATTGGCAATGCCACTTTCGTTAGAAAGCAGCCTCGACGCGGCATATTCCTCCTCAGGGTGTGAGGTGTACAAGACTGTAACGACGGTTGATAAAAGCTGGGAAAAACTCGGGGAAGGATACTCTCCCAAGGACGGAGGCGATCATCCTCGTAGGAGGGACGAAACGTCGCGTGCTCGCTCGCCCGGAAGAGAATCCTCGTTTCACGGTCTTGCGCCCGATTTTGCTCCTTTTCCAGGCGATCCTTCCGAGGGAAGCCTGTCTCCTTCGCTCTCTCTGAGAGCTGCCGAGCCACACTTCTCGGGTGCGTTAGACAAGTGCCGTAAGTGTGGCAGTAGGATGCGAGGGACCGTTAGGTGGACTCTGGCCATTTTTATTATTTCCTTGCGCTACACTTACTCCGCCTCTTTGAGACCGCCGAACCTTCCACCGAATGATTGTCCTCTCCGGAGGAGTCGCGATCAGGTCGCCGATCTATACACCAACAGTGCTTACGAACGTTTCTTTCAATTTCATATCAAGGTGGGATGAGATATCCTTGAAATTCTTGCGTGCGTTCGTAAGGCTTACGCGAGGTGAAGATCTTCTACTAGGGTTCCTTGCAGAGCCATCCTTGACCGCCCTCGGCCGATGTCCGTCGTACCAGGAGCAAAATGTCTGCCCCGCCAGATCGCCGGATTGTAAATCGGACTTCGAGTGTCAGACCCCGAACGAGAGGTGCTGCAGAACGGCCTGCGGACTGAGATGCGTGGTCGGGGAGTTGACGGGATGCGAGCAGCTCGCCTTGGCGGCCACCAGGAGGTCCCGGGCCCTGGGCCCGAAGGGGCCCCCGCAGTTCGTCCCGACGTGCAACAACGAGACCGGGGAGTTCGAAAGGATCCAGTGCGACGTCTGGGGCAAGTCCTGCTGGTGCGTGGATTCCTTTGGAGGAGAGCTTCCCGGCACCAGGGCGATGGCTAAGGAGCTGGTGGACTGCGACAACCCGAGACCTTGCCCGGCCCATAGCTGCAGGATGCTGTGTCCTCTGGGATTCGAGGTAACGTTCGGAAGACCCCTGGGAATCTCAATCGCAATAATTAATACCCAACGAAAGAGATCACTTTCCAAGGAACGCGTGAACGTCTAGCCTAGAGAGGACAATTTTTCACCCGGTGTACTCATACGTGGATTTGCAGATCGATCCCGACTCCGGGTGTCTTCGCTGCGAGTGCAAGGATCCTTGTCGAGGAATAACCTGCCCCGGGACGACACAGTCCTGCGAACTGGCCGACGTCCCCTGCGCTCGTCCACCCTGTCCGCCGATCCCGAGCTGTCGAAAGGCGAAGTCCCTGGCCACGATCTGTCCAGCAGGGGAGCCCCTGCAGATCACGGACTCGCCCAGGCCCTTCCTCTGCGGCAACACCCCCGGGAAACCGACGTGCCCACCCTTGTACAGGTGCCTCGTTGAGCCGGGTCAAGAGTACGGGGTCTGTTGTCCATCCAGCGTGGCCCTGAAGAGGCCGGGAACTTGTCCGGCCGAGGAACCTCTCCTATGCGGCTCGTCCTGCAGACACGACTTGGAGTGCCCGGCTCCGCAAAAGTGCTGCCACAGTGAGAGATGCGGAGGTGGAGTCTGTGCAATTCCTCAGGGCTTGAGCGCCTGCAACAGGAACAGGATGATGGCGGAGCTGCTGAGCATCTCGGAGAGGCAAGGTCGCGGCTACGTTCCCCAGTGCGGAGAAGGTGAGAACCATCGGAAGAGAAGTGCCCCATAGTTTAGTAAGAATCATCCGAGAGAAGTGGGAAGATGGGAATTCACTCGTTCCCGGTATCTTCAGATGGGTCCTACGATCCGAGGCAATGCTCGAGGAACGGTCTGGTCTGCTGGTGCGTGGACCCGGAAGGGCGGAAAATCTCCGGATCGATGGGGCCGTCCAAAGACGTGGAGTGCGGACCTGTGGTAAAGGCCCGGTCTCTTCCCGCCTCCTGTACTCCGCAACAGTGCGCGCAGGTTTGCCAGTACGGTTTCAAGACGGATCCTTCGGGCTGCCCCACCTGCGAGTGCGACAGCCCGTGCGATGGGTAGGTAACCGAGAACCTTACGATCGACCATTAACCCTTTCGTTACGACAGTCCGCAATAGCGCTACGACCGAACGCCGTGCCCAAGGTGTACACATCTAGAGCTAGCACATCACCGTCACTGTAATTATGGTGATTAATTGCCCACAGTATCCGAATGTAGATTCGCGGCAAGCGACTGTTAGACGACCCGTTGTAGTGAAAGGGTTAATCGGTAATAATTACCGATCCCTTTATTAATTACTGTCGTTCCTAGGTACCCCTGTTCCATCGGGGAGGAGTGCGTTTTGGTACGCGAAGAGGGCTGCCCGGACTTCCTGTGTCCGACGAGGCCAGATTGCAGGCCGAAGAGGACCTACGAGAGCCCTTGCGTAACCGGAGCGCCTTTGAGCGACGAGGACGGAAGTGCCGTCACCTGTTCAGCGAACAAAACCTGTCCCCAAGGCCACAGGTGCACGGCGGTGCCCGAGGCCAACCAGTCGGTCTGTTGCGCGATCACAGTCTACCCTGTAAAACCACCCACCAGTAAGTCGAAGATGGTTTGCCCCAAATTTCGGGAAAACATTTCTTGGCAAATATAAACCCTTGAAACTGAGCGAGCATCACCACGTTGATAACAAAAGAAGGGTTTATACTTGCCTTGGCTTTTTCTTATTTTCTCAACATGGCGTGGAGAATCGTTAAACTGCTTCGTAATCGGGACTCGCGACTCAAGGAAGGCGTTATCATAGGAACCTTTCGATCCCACAGTGTGCCAGTATCTCAGAGACTTCAACGAGCGGATGGAAGGTACCCGAGAAGGGATGGCATTGGCGATTCCAGCCCCCGAGTGCGAGGAAGACGGCTCGTACAAGCCTCTCCAGTGTGACAGAGGTAACTGCACCTGCGTGAACACCCAAGGAGTCCCCCTGAAGTCCAAGGTGTCTCGGGGGGGCAGCGACTGCAAGCGAATAGCCGAGCTCCTGAACGCCTGCGAGCCGTTCAGATGCGACCTGCCCTGTCCGTACGGTTACGAGCTGAACGCAGCGGGTTGCCCGCGGTGCAAGTGCAGGGACCCCTGCAAGGAAGTGACCTGCAAGGTGCACGAGGCCTGCACCATGGTGGACGTCAACTGTGGACCCGGACAGTACTGTCCTCCCGTGCCGGCGTGTTTGATCTCGAAGCCGGGACAGTGTCCCTACTTGGTGCCCAGTTCGTCCAGCTGCGAGTTGCAGTGCGGCAGCGACCAGGAGTGTCCCTCCAAGGAGAAGTGCTGCTCAACAGGGTGCGGCACGCAGTGCGTGTCCCCCGTGGTGGCGACCGCGTGTCAGCACGCAAGAGCCCTGGCCGAGCACGTAGCTAGGGAGTCCGGGGAACCAGCAAGGCGTCTTTACATCCCACGCTGTGACTCCAGCGGAGCCTTCGAGTCCGTCCAGTGCCACGCAGGGATGTGCTGGTGCGTCGACCGGGAGGGCCGCGAGCTGGCCGGCACCAGGGTGGTCGAAGGCATCGTCCCCAAGTGCAGCACCCCCTTACACTGCCCCGAGATCGCGTGCGACCTCAACTGCCCTGAGGGGTACGAGCCGAACCCGGCGACGGGGTGTCCAACCTGCTCCTGCAGGGACCCCTGTAAGACCGTCACCTGCAGGGGCGAGAACGAGGCTTGCAGGATGGTGGAGGTCGCGTGCAGCGTCCCTCCTTGTCCTCCCGTGCCCGTCTGCTTGCCCAAGAAGGACAACCCTTGCCCCAACGGATCTCCCCTGCTGGGTCAGGATGGGTCGCCGGCCACGTGCGGACCCCACGGTACCCAGTGTCCCTCCACCCACAAGTGCGAGCTCTCGCCGTTGGACGAATACGCCGTGTGTTGTCCGAAACCCCGGGATGTTTGCTTCGAGGTACCCCGGAGGACGTCCTGTGGATTCGGCCAGAATTTCAACCAGACGGAGAGGTGGTTCTTCGACCCCGAGCGCAACGAGTGCAGGAGGAAAAAGGAGTGCACCCTGGGGCACAATGACTTCTCCAGCAGGCTCGTCTGCGACACGATTTGCCCGGTTCTGTCGCAGTGCGAGAGATTAAGGGAGAGGAACCTGAAGACCTCGCAGAGGTTGAAGCAGCCCACTTTCCTACCCAGGTGTAACCCCGAGACGGGCACCTGGGAGCCTGTACAGTGCCTGGAACACGTCGGGGTGTGCTGGTGCGTCGACAGGAAAGGGGAACCCGTCAAGGGATCTCTAACCCGTGGTCCTGAGCCCAAGTGTAACTTCAGACAAGCGAGGCGAGGCAGGGGACCCGTCGACGTTGATCCGCAGATCAAGGCTTATATGGAGTCTGCTTTCTTGGGCATGGATTCACAGGAGGCGGATGTTACCAAGGTTCTGGCCACCAGGTGCCAAGCCATGAAGGAACGAGGACACGGTCCCGCTATTTGCGATGCTCAGGGCAGATTTGAGCCCACCCAGTGTGCCGGGGATGCTTGCTGGTGCGTCGACGAGGCTGGGAACCAGCTGCTAGGATCGGAACTCTTCTTCAAGGGCTCCAGGACGTGTCGTAAGTGTCCTTAAAGATGATAAACTACGAGTACAAATTTGAGATCTTCGGGGGTTTTCAAGTAATTTTTACATTTGCGGGATTGCAACCCCCTAGTCTTGAGAAAAATGTTCTTTCAATGAGGTAAGAATTACCGAATACCTTCTGTTATTTTTCAGCCGTGACACCGATAGAGGCGGTCGAGGTTACTCTTCGTCTTCCTGGTCACTTTTTGGCCAGGGACGAGAAGCGTTTCTCCGAGCAAATGAAGGGTCTGCTGAAAAATATCGGTGCTAGCATCAGGGGTGACATCTCCGTGGACATCGTCCAAGATTCCGCAACTCTTAGCTTCGACGTTGTTGGCCCCAACAAAGTCGACGTGGCTTTCCATCTAGAGGAACTAACGATGTTACAGAAGCTGACTCTTCTTGGCTCCGTGGCAGATGCCACCACTTCTACGTTCAGACATGCCTCTTCGGGTCCTACGCAAAGTAGAATGGTGGCTCTCGAGCATAGGGAGATCCTGACGGAATTGGAATCCCCTCTCTATCAAACCACGACAATGGTCCTCGCCTCGGCCAGTGCGTTTCTCATCTGCAGTCTTATGATTCTGCTGCTGATTTATCGGAAGAAAGTGAGTACACCTAACTAGGTATGAATTTTCATTTAATCCTCTGTAACCGAATTTTTTGACAAGCCGAGAAAAAGTTGCAACGTGAAATTAGCAAGTATTAAGGCGATATGAAAGGGTCATTCTATCGAATTTCCGCAGATCAAAACGAAGGACTCGGACAAGACGTTGCCGATGGACCAGCGGTTTCTGGCATTTAATCAACAGCCCGTCTATGTGATATCCGGCCTGGAAAAGGACGACAAGGAGAAGGACATCATTGTGAAAGGACGGGAAGACACCTTTGACGCACCAATTAAAACATAATTTCATCGACTATCCCTACACCCGACACGTTAATGTCGTCGATATCAATTCTCGATCGATCGCCCGGACTTGCTCGTCCTCGGTACAGTCCACTCTTCGGAATGACAATTGCGTTCCACTAAACACTGCCTGAAGCATTACCTGGGGGAAAAAAAACCATCGTCTAGGAGACGATTCCAGTCATATCGATGTCTCCGAGAATTAAGCACTTACGTGGAGGTGTATGTATGTACATACGTGTACATATTGGATCGCTCGTCAGGTTTCTTCGGTGCTCGCGATTGGCCTTTATGGATACAAAATCGAGGGGTATTCACTCAGGAAATCATGGATTTGGACTAGTCGGTCCCTTCCACCTCACGTAGTTCTTGGACGTGCTTCAATCTCATGTAGTCGGGAAATCGGATCGCAAGTGCGATCAGTCGTCGTGTGTTAATCGAAACTTGAGACCATGTGGTAGAAGCGGAACTTGTCCGTACGTTCTTCAAGTATGTACTCGTTACGTGCTCTATTTTACATTCCGAACATTGTAACGATCTTCCTGGGGAACCACGATCGTTAGAACCAATGGCACGAATGCAGGACAGAGCAAGAATTGTAGTAACGGACGAATGAAAACGTACAGGTCGAACGCGCGTAGTGTAAACTAGCGATGTAATTTATTTATTTCACTAACCTTTTACTATCGCTCCAATAATAATAATACATGTTTAAGTGATACGTCTTTCCTTTGTCAATCGCTGTTCCTGAAATTGTCCCATATTTTACAGCACGGTATAGCGACGAGGCACATTTGAAGGTTTCGCAAAGTATGCTAATGCAAATTTTATTTATTGAAGTTTCAAATTAATTTTGGTAGGGTGGAATTATTTGCATTTATTAGGAGGCCAACTTTAATCGTTAACAATTCAATAGTTTCCACCATTTTTAAGGATTCTTGTGCGATCTGGGGCACCCTGTGTATATGCAGTAGCCCGACCACGTGTCTCGTTGCTAGGCAACGGGACGCCAAACGAAAGGCCAGGTATTTGCTCGATATGACTGGGCCTCGGGTAGAAACGAGTCTAATTACGATTCATCTATACCCAGTCATTTAAAAATTACTAATAAATCAATTGACGATACATCCAACCACCAAATACTTCACTGAAATTGGGACTCATCGGTTAATATTACACAGGGCAAGCAGGACATATAGCGATGACAAAATGCGTCAATAAACCTTCCAACCTCAAAAGTTCAGGTGAGTACAAATGTGTGTCGAGATCAAGATTACCTGTGATGCATTATCACTAGCTCAGGTGATATGGCAGTATTTCAATATATTCATAAATGTAATAAAAACGTAAAATAACAGAGAGACAATTTCGGTTAAGCAGTGTACAACTTGACTGGGCAAAACTACTTCGAGCAATTAACGGCGTATAATTCCATGTGTGCTCATTTACGCCGAGTTTTGTTGGCGAAACGAGTGGTCGATACGAGACGACCTCGTAGCGAACGTCAACGAAGTCGAAGCCAACAGAGGGTCAGTTGTAAGTCTAGATCCTCTGAGTTTGAACTGTCAAACGACATCATCGATAGACTTGCGTATGACACCGAGCATCACCCGATTGTAAGTGACTCGGCCAGTGCACTGTAATTCCTTTCATATTCTCTAAATCCCACCGATTGACCTACAATCTAAAGGTCCCCGAAATGATTTCTCACGGTGGTTCTTAGAAAAATGAAAAACATTATTTTCTTCAAAGAGATAAGTTATGCATACTTTTCGCTAAATTAGGATATTCTAAAAATGAGTTGGGACTACAAGCACCCGCACGCAGGGAACAGAAATAACGAATGCTGTCGATCAGTCTGCAATTTAAGAAGCATGGATCGGTCAAGATCGAGAATTCAATCCGATAGAAGTTGCACGGGAAGAAAGACTCCCAAGGACTGTTCCACGCAAAAGAAATCCACCTCGCCCTCACCTCAGCGAGGGAAATTCAATGACGAAAATGGGAAAGGGATAAAATTCTCGAGACCGAATACGAATCCCCCGAGATGCTGCAAAGCTTCACCGAGGTGACTGAATTCTGTTATCATTTTTATACGCCACCACCTCGCTTAATTGTCTTAGATGAACATTCAGACATTAACGACGAGATATAAATAATTCACCTAGTGCTAGGATATAACGCGTGCAGATTGGATTTAGGAAATGGAAGTACGAACAGGAAGGTGCATCCTGCGAATACGCGTCCAGTTTCGAATCATCGCCTGGAGCATCTTGTGGAGGATTCTCCAGCGTGGGAAATACGAGTCCAGCTAGGAGTGCCGATGGTTACGGTTTCAAAGAGCCCAAAAGCTCGATTTTACGTAAAAGTGCATCCGAAAGCGAAGAGGAGGCGAGATACACCAAATTCGTTTACGACATCACCCAGGAGATCATGCACAATGCTCTCTACACCGACAAGGAGTTGCAAAACGTGTTCAGGAAGCACCTCAACAAGAACACAGGGATCTTGAACAAGGTTTAACTTAGAAGTTTCACTTCCAACGCACAGATTGTTACTTCGCAATGGTTTCGCTTAATTGGAACGGTCAGGACTTATAACAAATTGGTTTCTCTGCGTTAGGGTAGGATGATGTACGAGATACACCGTTTGAAGATTGCCCTTAATATTCCGGACGAGTCCGATGACGAAGAGGAGTACGAATCGATGTACAGTTTTTCCAATTTACCAGCCAAGCCACCGACCCCTCCAAAAGTCTTAGACGACAACAAGGTGATGGAGAAATTGCAGAGCTACTTGAGGCTCGACGAATATGCCAGCCGCAGATCTACCGGCAGCAAGAATGTTATCCTGGTTGATGCCAATCCCGAATTGTTGGTCACGGAACGCGACGTTCTGATGACGTTGGTGGAGATGGATGTGGAGCCGAAACAGGCAGAATCCATTTGTAAAAGCTTGCTCAGTAAAAGCAGGGACACCTCCACGAGTCACATGGTGAGAGCTACCTAATCGATATTAAACAAAATTCCGCCTCGTAGCTGTGTTTATCAGAGCTACATAACTTTGCATTATCAAAAACACGTTTACCTTCCTTTGAGAGGAAAAACATGCACCATACAATATGCGGTTAAATGGCCTTTTTTTTTTTTAACTAATTTTCTCTGACATTGAAAATTGCAACTTATCGAAACTTTGTCTTCTACGGGGGTAATATATTTTTTTTTTATATGGTGTACATAGCCAATGTGACAATTGTATCTCCTAGGTGCAAGTTGAGGCGGAATCCTGTTATTCCAAATATTCTCGAGCAGTGGATAGAGGGAGTTCAGCAACAAGATTAAAAGAGAGCCCATCCCAAGAAAGCATCATCGATAAAGATCAGGAGAATACTAAGCTCATCGGAGATCGTAAGAAATGTTCTAAATGGAATCATGTTCGATGCCATTGCAAAGACGAGTAAGTGTAACGGACATGTCCCAAAAAATCCTAGACCCGTGATATTAGAAATCGAAAGCCTTCCATTGATCTCTGCTGCCTTAATCCGAGTATAAGACTAATTTTCTTAAAATTTCAGAAGACAGTCGGAGCGATCACGTAAAGGCCACATCCTGGCCCCGAATATGCAGGAGACCTCAGTTTCCCAGAAAACCTTTCAAGGAATATTATCAACGGTGTCTTCTCAAGGCCAGGAAATTGCCAGCGATGAATCCGGAATTAAAAAGGTTATTATCATCGACGCCTCCTCTTCGGGGCCCACAACAATTGCCGAAGACGACAGAGAAGGCGACGACAAAGAAAATGGTACATGACATTCAAGAAGATTGCATAAATAAGGATCATACGCTCTTTCCAAGCACGAACTAGAGCATTTGCTAGGAAATAAAATGGTTGAAAAAAAAAAATGAAATCTTATGATTACGGCATTTATTCGATGTTAAGGTGATATGAAATTGTCATTCCATATATAACGTAAAAGTACTTATAAATCTTTACCCCAAACTGGGTGCACCGAATCATGTCGAAACTTCAGCACGTGATCGTGAAGGCTGACAGTTCATAACAAATGATATATAATCTAATTAAATTCTATAAGATAATAACCGTTCGAACATTTTGTCTAGTCGCGTCGCCGGAAGTCACGAAGGAGGAAGGGGAAGTTGTCGAAGAGGATCCTGAGGTCTACAGCGAAAAGGATTGGTCCTCGAGTGAGGGAGATTCGATTTCGGGGAGCAAATCTAAAGCCTCGGAATCTCCAAAGGATAGCACGGGTATTCCGGAAGTGGATGCACTCCGTTCGGTGCAAAAGTCGTCCGAGAGTGCAGCCGGAAGCGAATCCGCGGAAATGGAGATTCTTGAAATGCTTCAGGGCCTCGAAGAGAACCCCGAGGTAGCGGAGACGATACGGACTAGAACTTCGAATTCCAATTTAGAATCCGACCAGCCTGACTCGGCAAGAACAATCGAGACGGACGAGAAAGAGCCGCAGGACCCGCCACTACTTTCCGGAAATTTCTTTAAGGATTCTTCGGATTCGGAACTCGACGATCCTGTGCCTTCGAGCGAGCTCGACCCGGACACAGGCAGGGAGAATCATGACAACGATATGCATCTCTCGCCGCGTGATGCATAAATTAACATTTCAATTCTTCACTCGGTGAATGTCGAATGGTTACGTCTCTACACAGTGACGATTTTTTATTCCTTCAATCGGTATCATTCACATCGATCTTACGGTGAAGTGAAATACGCCGAGGAACTTAATCGACGTCGGTAAAAGAGATTTTTCTAAATGCCTACGTTGCCGACGTCGCTATTTACGTGGACAGCCGTATCGAATAATATTAGGTATTGTACTAAGTGGCATACTCCAAGGAATTAAACTTTCCCTAAATCAGATCCTCAGGCACGTTCTTATAATATCGATATTCTTTTTATTGATAGGATCAAAAGTTTACAGGTAGGTATATGTATCGTTTCCGAGGATAGGCTCGTGAAGAGTGTTTGTCGCATAGAGCGAACTATCTCAACAACGATAAAATATATAGTGAAAAAATATGTCAACACATTTATATATGTATAGCCAGTACACATACGGAACTGTACATTATCCAAATATATATATGAATGTATATATACATATATACCTATATATATCCGTATAGTACAGTCATTAGCGGTGTCTCTTTGCTCTATACAGAGAAAATACATCGCTTGGAATAATTATACGTGACCCTATGGATATATTTAGACTACTCAGAGGAGAGGAAAAATAAAATGCATTATACCTTTACATTTCCCCGTTCAGTAACTTGAATTTCCTTTTCATTAGCGATATATGTATATGTATATATATATATAATTTGACGTTGCTTCCTTTGTGCACTTTGCTTTGTACATACGTTACGTCTCTTTAAAAAGTGAGGTCAGGAGGATTATTCCTGCGACAAATCCGACCACGCGTTTCCTCAAAGGGAAAGAAACATTCCTCGTAAAGGAAGTTTTCCTTGGAACAGCTGATTCGCCTAACGCGCACGTTTTTCCGTTCGCCAGACGTAGAATATTCAGATAGCTGTCGTCATAGCTGCGTACAGTCGTTTCCCTTTACGTATCTTATGCTAAGATAATTACACGACCCCCAAGAAAGCCGGGTCGGTAGTTGGGGGGAAGATAAAAAAAATATGATCTTTGTATCTACATACTTCCCTAACAAACAGCTAATTCCTTTGATTATTGGTTTACTCTCGCTGAGAGGTTTGGTATTTAATAATCGGTAAAGGTGAGTCAGGGCACATATTCTCAGACTTTCGAGATGCAGACAAGGCGATGATATTCTTGCCAAGGCTGCCCGAGAATATTTGCAAGCTTTGAGTACACGAATTCGTTATGATCCGAATTTAATAAAAAAATATACATCCGTATGAAACTCACAGTTTCCTTTTCTTGTCAATCTAGGTATCGTACGAGCCACATGCGTGTAAAAATAATGATGCGCTCGATATTCTCTCTAAATCGGGTTACATCAACGTAACCGGATTTTGATTTTGTCATCGTAGGCATAAAAATAGGAGCTCTCGACAGAAAGGGTGAGGTAAGTGTTCGAATTACTGACCGTAGACCTGTCACCGACCTACCCCAATTAGCCAATGCTTTGGGCAATTGAAGTAGCAAAAACAATCCCGTAACAGATTCCTGGCCAATAACTCTGTAATCATCTATTTAAAGATGAACGAAAAAAGAAAAGAAATGGCCACTAGCTGAAAATTCCTTCGACAGTACTAGATCACAAATATTTCCTAGGCAAGCTCGACAAGAATACTGTCGCGCAAAGTACACCTATCTAAATCTACTCTTCAACTTTCGAATTAATCGTAATCACATGCAACCGCATATCCAGCGATTTTATAACATTAAACCTATATATAATCGAGACGCTATAATTATGGGTGCAACCGTTAACATTAAGACTCTTGGCGAACCTCCTCCGAGGGAAACGCCCAAGAATTTAAAAAAAGAATCCGACGTCTCCGTCATTTCTTAAGAACGCAACTCAGCACCATATCTCGGTCCCATCGTCGAAATTCAATCGAATCAGCCTTACAAAAGGAAGATATCTCGTCGGTTTTGCACGAACAATCGCAAAATTACAAGGTACGACCCAGAAGGTCGTGAATAGTTGACAGTATCTTCACTCCGGATTGAGATCTGAGAGATTTTGTTAATTTACTATCACCCCAGAAATCCCGGATCGACGCCGGCTATCATAACCTCGCGACGATCGGCACAGAGACCGGCATCTCCTACTTTACGATATACTTTAATCCCATCAGCTGCCATCGGATGCATTCGACGAGGAATCCTCAAGTTCCGGTGCCCCTGGGCTACGATTTAAGATTGTTAGAAGTTCTGTTACGTGCTTTACGGTGAAATCTGGTTTCGGATCATCGCTGGATAGCCTGGTCTTGTCCGACGTTGGGATCCAAACAGTACCTGCGAGTCCAACTTCGATTCCTCCTAAGACATAAAAAGGGATTCTTTACAAAAGAGAACAACATCCATCCGGGAAAAGTTCAAGTTACATATTCCATGAAAAACTGCTGCAGACATCGGAGCATGAATTTCAGTTCAACAAGTTTACCTAAAATATCGGTCTCCAACTTGTCTCCGATCATGATGCAACTCTCCGGTCTAACTCCGAGGCATCGACAAGCTTCCTCGAAGATTCTTGGATCAGGTTTCTCCCAGGGTAGATCGCTGGACACGAGAATGACATCGAAGTATTGCTGCAACGAGAGCTTGTGGATCTTTTCCCACTGGGCGTTGGACGGGCCATTGGTGATTAATCCTAGCAGGTACGTCTTCCTCAACTGGCGGATCATGGAGATCGTCTCTGGCGCTGGTGCCAGGTAATAGTATCTTAAATAAAGCCATCTCTCGTAAACTTTTTTGGCCAGGTACCCGTACTTCTCCCCGAGAGCCTTGCTCCACAGCGAAGTCCTCCACGCGTCGAGGGGAAAGGCTGAATTGTCTGGACACTTCCGGAAGTACTTCAAGTAACTCGCTGTAATCTTACAGGAGGCCTCCTGCGGTATCCCATACTGCTGGGTCAACTCGTCGGCAAGCTGTCGTTGAGCAAGTAAAAGAAAAAAAAAACGTAAGCATTAAATTTCCGAAGCACAATGCCAAGCTCGAAGGAGCTTAAAAGTTGCTTGAAAAATCAGAGGCATGGTATCACGACTAAAGAGAGGTTATGGAACAAGGATGAGCGCAGTTTTAACCCATGAGGTATTCCACAACGAATGACAACTTCAACATGCAGTGATAAATTGATCGACGTGTACAATCCTAACTTCCAAACAGAACGTCGTGAGTACAATAATTAATCAAGTAATGATAACCAAACAACACTATTACACTCGTGTCCTGTAGTGGTTGTAAAATTACTCATTGAATTAAAATGTGCCCATCTCTGTTGTAAAAGCAGCTTGCCACAATCAACGTCGTGCACCGCGAGAATTGTTGGAGTTACTTTCCGAGATGCTTTACACCGGAGACCAATACTCCTTACAAGCGTCTTACAAGTCATGTCAAGTTTAGAAGACATGCATTAAGTCAATGAGGCAATGTCAACGATTTTATGAAATAGGTAAGATATAATTTGCACCCAATAATTATCTGCATTCATATTGATATTAAAATGACATCGCCATATGAATAAATTAAGGTTACACGAAAAGAAAAAAAAAAAAAAAAACTGGTCTTGTACATCTTGAAAAATAACTCTATGATTCTCCTAGCGCTGGGACCAGGAAAGAATTCCATTTAGAAATATATTCTTTGCAGCTCCCAAGTATATAATCGGTACACAATGTAATTTAATAGAATGTATGTACACGAAGGAAAATCTATTTTCGCGGCCCGATTACATTGACAGTGGCTGTTGGCAACTTAAACAAGTCTTAGGATAATAAAGGTCAGTTACATGAGCGATATCAGTTAGGGCACTAAGTCATATTAATGATTACCTATAAAATGCATTGATTCATTCAATTACTCGAGCCGATTATTGGACTCTCGAAGTGGCACCCAAGGTCGCTGCTGTAATCACAACAAAATCAGCTGTGCCAACGACAGACTTATACAGTACTCCGAACCTTTAAAGCTTTCTCTGGAAAGATACCTGGATGGGCACCGCGATAGGATTCACTACCGTAACAGTTGTTACTTCTAACTCTAGGGAGTTTTTTAAATATTAGTAACGGAGAAATTAGGCTAAGTCTTAATTTACTCTCTGTGCAAGATGTAATGCATCAAAGCGATACCTTAGTTCAAACATAATTTTTTCACAACTTTCTAGATGGCAACGATGCATTTTTCAGCAACGCTTTCCACCATCCAGAAATCTTCCTAGAGCCTTTCGCATACATGAAACTTATGAGATAAATTTGTTAATGGCTTTATGATCAGCGGTGAATCAGGATTTAAGGGTAATGAGACATCTGTAATCGAGTAAGTACTAGTACAAAATTACTTTCCATTTAATTTGAAAAAATCTCTCATCCATGTTACAAATTCTTAGCTGTCAACAAATATGTGCCTACGTTGTAAGTTTTGTTAAAATACCGCAATGCCATCGATAACAATCCCTCCTTTCCACGTGCATATGTTGACTCGAAATTAACCCTTATGATATTGTTATTAGCTGTATAAAAGTAATTTCACAGCATTGTAACAACTATATAATAGTCATGAATCTAGGATACGTCAATACAAAGATTTTACAAAAAGACTAATAGACACACAACAGTAAAAGCGTGAGTTTCCTGCACCAGGAAATACACCTTTTGTTTGCGATATCGTTCGGAATACCGATCAGAAAATAAAATACATGTGGGAGGGCATGACAATCTCTTTTGTTTGCGATATCATTAGGAATACCGATCAGAAAATAAAACACATGTGGGAGGACATGACAATCCCATGTCTCTAAATAAGATCGAGGAAACGCGCCCGTGTAGTTTACACCAGAAAATAATATCCTAGCTGCGTCGTAGCCAGATAGAAGACTATTTTGAGATGTCAGCTAATTATAAATCGTGGCGACGCGTTACTCAGGGCCCACGAGTGGTACTCTTGAAACTCTAACAAATTCTTTTATTGCGCCGTCAACATAAAGATATATAATCTCCTCTTTTAAGAAAAATATCTTGGATTATTTTAGTAATAAATAACGAGGACTAATTGTAATTAGTTTTCAAAATACGACTATGTTTTTTCCATCCGTCTCGAGATCAAATCGTTGCACGGTTCCTCTTCTTTTAATAGGCATAAAATAAGGGCGGGCTTTTTTTTTATACAAAACACGAAGAGTCTCAAATTTGAAGTTATCCTTTAGTCTCCGAAAAGGTGTTTGCCCAGTTCCATCATTCGGTGATTTCTGCATACAGTCAGAGCTCCGGCTTTCTTCAGGACAGTGGCAACACTCTGGTCAGCCTTAACCAAATGACAAAGTAGATCCTCGAAGGCTGATTTCACATTGGGTTGCAGACCACCGATTTTAACTTTCTTCAAGGTGTCGATGATGCCTTCCGCCCAGCCTGACTCGATGGTGAACTCCGATAGCCATGGTACCATTTGCAAAATTCCAGCCATGGTTTGCATGCCCAGAAACCAAAGTTCCATGATCTCGTTCCAGTGCTCCTTGTAAGCCATCGCTACAACCAGCTCCGTGGGATCGTTGCTTTCATCAACTATGTATGCATCCCAGAGGAACCGTATAGTTGCTTGAATGTAACGACAGATAGAGAAATCGTTTTTCTTGACTCGTTTAGCTTGCTGCTTAAACAGGAGAAGACCCAAAACGGCCATGTGTCCGTGAAGAACCAGATTCTCCGGAATTTGCTTCAACTCCGGAAGGTTGTTGAAAATGAACTTTAACAACGACACAAAAGTAGGTGACTCTTCGACAAGCTTCGCCTCCAATACTGTAATATTCATTAGCACGTTACAGATAGACACCATAGCAGCTCTCGAGTCTTTCATGTCATCCAACACCTGTGGGTCCAATTGTTTCTCCGGTTCCTTAAGAGCCTTAAGGCGTTCGGCTCTAGGTACCGGTGGTTTCTTATAGTGAACGATGGTCCAGTGATACGAGAGGCACTCAAAAAGTACTGCATCTTGGCCGTGTTTTAGCATAATTTTTCTCGCTTGCTCCTCGACAGCTAAGTAGCACAATGCAGGCAGTAACAATCTCAGGATATCGATGTGGCTCAAAGGATCATCAGCAATGGGCGTATCGGAAGATGATCCCCCGTCAGCTTTTGCTTCTGCTTTTGCCTTTTCAGCAAGTCTTCTATTACGATATGCATAAAAGGTGTTATTAGCAACAGATAGTACGTAAGGTAACACCGCATATACTTGAGTTCGCATTGCAGAGGTTTCCTGTGCTAACCATGCCGCCAAAACTCTCACAACGGCACAAACGAAAATGCGATCTTTGATATCTGTTAAAGGCTTCATTTTCGACAAATTGTTGAGTAGCTCAATGACGGCAGCAAAAGCTCCTTTGAGAGCAGTATATAAAAATTGCTTCTCTTTTTGTTCCAGATCCAACTGGTCAGAAGTGATGAATGTCAATGAAATTTCTAATATTGTGAAGCACGATGTAATTAAATCCGAATTAGCTGTTACTGCCTTAAACAACTTTCCTTCCAGCTGCATCCTAACTTCAATGGAAGCCAGTTGGATTAGCAATATGAAAAAAGTTTTTGGATTTTCTTCATTGGAAAGAGCCCACTCGACTCCAAGTATGTCCAACATTAAAGCAGCAAGCTTCAATGCAGGATCCCGTTGATTCTTTACGATCTTTGATCCCAAAATATTACTTAAGGTTTTGTGAATACTATTTGGCCATAATTCATCTTTGGCAGATAAAGCGATCGTATCTCTTCTACAGGAGAAGAGTAAAGCCTGCAGAATATTACATAGCTCAAATTTCCTCTCGGTATCATCGGTCTCAAAATCAAAACCGATTTTATTCATGATCGCATGGAAAGGTTTGGCATCAGTTGGGTCCCATGCTTCTGGTCCCAGTTTACTAACCAGTGTTACCAAAATGTTTAAAGCTTCATCTGTTTGGAAACTCTTTTCCGAATAAATCTCACACATTTTTGGAATTGCTTTCTCTTCGAGCAATACCTTCTGTCCTGGTGGATACTGAGCTATATTTTGCAGACAAGCATACGCTTCGCTGACGATAATCAACATATCATCCGATGCATCGTCATCAGCATGATATACAATTTCTAAAAGGGCTGGAACATGACCAATCATGTCTGGATGCACCGCTAATTCGGGTTCCCCACAAAATGCAGATAAAACAGACAAAGCCACTGATTTGTATACTTGTGGAGGACAATCCATAGGTACGTTATCGCTGCACAATAATTTTCTCAGAAACTTAGCACCTATGGCCTCGAAAAGCATCTTCTTAGTTTCAGGGGTACATTCTTTGCCACTCACTAGTTTCGTGATCATGAACAGTGCAGCAAATTTCTCTGAATCGCTGCTAGCCATCTTTAAAATGGCCACACACTTCTCCACCGGTCCACTCATTTTCACAGAATAGTTGTAACCGTTGTCAATTCGATCGATCTCGGCGTCTTCTTATCACTTCGCCTCTGAGTTCCTGCTCCTAATGATGCTCGACGTTTAATACTGCAGAAGGTTCATCAAACGCGCGCGGTAACTGATATTCCATTGACCGGCATGCGTCGTAGTGCAGCTCGAAGCCAACTGGCAATGCTCCCGGAGTAAGCTTTCCCGACTAGCCTTGCCCTTTGACACACTCTCCTGGGAGGACAAAAATAACCTCTCGCCTCTCTAATGCTAGGCAACCCGAAGACACGAAAGCCTCCCACTTAAACCAACATTTGAGCTACATGCCAGAAACTTGGGTATTAATCGACTAATTATTATCCCACACTCATTACATAAGGCTGCCCAATAACAAATCAAGTACTCTTAAACGACAATATAAGAAATTCCAAGCCTAGAATTATAATTGTTTAAATACGAATAAAATCTAATAGAATCCATTACAACGCTTTCCCTAGGAGTTATCTACCATAAAATGCAAATCTCTTTGCCCAAGAGGTCTCGACGATAATCTGCCAAAATTGCACTTATTACCGGGAACAACAAACCGTACGAGCTAATACATCTAACCAATGAAAACCACGACTACTAATTATATTCTTAAATAATGATATAAATTACGTTATATAAGTTCGTCCTTGGAAGGAGCGCATTAAATTTTCTTTGAAGGTCTTTCTACACAACTCGACATAACCTCCAACTAAAACGCTCGAGTCACTCCTCGATGTTGGTTCTCTCTTCGAAACTTGGAACGTTTGCACGTTCCCTCTTGTTAAAGCAAACAAATCCTTCGTACCAGGAGCACGGGAAAGGACGTTTGTGTGTGCGTGGACGTTTTGGTGGACTGCAATGCGTGGTGTGTTGAAAATAGTCTCGGCCGGAGAAAGGCCTATATCGGGAATCGACTCATGTTACACGAGGATCTATTCCCAGCGTGGCGTCGGATAAAGGGATCGAGCGGAACAGCCGAATAATCACTCGAGAACCTTCGGTCGCTCCTACGAATACTCAAGCCTTGAGTAGAGCTCCGGTCGAAATAAGTGGAATTACAACGTGGACAGCGACCATGCGCGGAGAGCGTCACATCTGCTGATGCGCATAACCTCACTTTCCTCACTTTCTCGTATCATCGTTCCTTGACGAATTCGAGTACGTTCCAATTTTGCCTAACCAGTGATATGAAAGTTACTACTGGGAAAATAAAAGAAAGTAGAACCGTTGTATCAGGCAGCACATTACGCTCATGTTTCAAAATTTGATGAAATATGGAACGCGCGATAGTAGAGGTATCGGGTCAACCCCAGAGCTATGTGGTATGAATCACATAGGAATTTTTTATGAATCAGATATGAGCTCATTGGTGAATAAACGTTGGGTATTTTCCATTTGAAATAGTACAATGAAAAGAATTGGTATGGACAACTGAATATTTTAATCAAGATGCAAAATGAAAATTTAAATGTATATATGGGCCTTTATTGAGAAAGTTATCAATACCAGCTTTAATTCAGAAGACGACTTTTTTTAGTTTACTATACATGTTACTTTTTAGCTTATTTATTTAATTCCTAATAAACATTGTAATCAGAACTATTAAAGTATTATGATCATTTTGACATTCTTGACTTCATAAGATTCGTTAATGTTTGAGTAACATTGAATAACGTAAATACCTCGGTTGCGTAATGTTCTTCTCATTGGTTAAAGATATATTCACATGAATAATAATCAAACCTTGTTAGAATAGATAAGTAAAAAAAAGAGATGGGAAATATTCTTTTTGTAATTAATATAGATAATACGATAGTACGTTAACAGCTGACTACAGCTGACTCGACGGAATGTAAGGGTCAAAGCTCAAATGAGATAACATATCGATTTATACTCATAAGATAAATATTTCATGAGTACTGAAGTTCAAGGCCTATAATCATATAGCCATCGAAGCCACGTGACATGACAGCACACGAGGAGAGTTGCATCATCTGGCAAAGCTCCTTCTTTACGTCCATGCTCTTTACAATCCTAATGACATCTTTCCTCGATGCGATGACAAATGATATTTTACTCCAAGTTCAAACTTGTATTCCTGTCAAAAATTAGTGCTGAAATACAAAACCTTAGAGATAAAAATACTCAATACATACGGCTTCTCAGGTGGTTAAAAGATAGTATTCAATTATCGAGTATCTCGTAAGCGTGGAACGATAACCCTGCAAGTAGAAGTGTACCTACTGCTTTAAAACAACGAAACCCTGAATAACACTCGATATCTCAAGAGAGTGCTGAAATCTGATTTTCCGAGTTTGCGACTCTACGAAGTGTCAACGAATTGGCGCGAAAGAGCACGTCGTCTGCTAAAACGCGTGACCTTTCGCACCCACCTTTTTTACGGTTCCGACGACGCGGAGGTGCGGGGCGGCGGGCCCTAACCTACTTTGCGCGTCACGCAAGGAGTGAAATCCATCCTGAAAGAGAACCAATGAGGCGATTCATTCGCATGTGTTTTGTACCTTTCGACATGTCAGATTGTCTCCCTTCCTGGTCTCGATGAGAGTGTTGTCCAAGTCGAAGAGAATCGTCGTGATGGCGATGCTCAAGTTGTTCCTTGCACGGAAAGCCGCCATTGTCCTATACGGCCAGCGGGAGTCTCTCGGTCGATGTCGATTCTTGGTCTGCTGTTCGGCCCGTTAAGAGACGGCATGGACTCCTTTCATGAAATAACGGCGCTCTGCGTCGGCGGCAAGGAGGGAGGGGCATCGAGCGGTTATCGGTACCGTGCGACGTCACCACACATCGCGGCCATCTTGTCCGCTCGTGGCTCTCCGCCAATCAGAGTGTCGCTCTCACTGTCGCTCTAGGTGGATATTTCCACTGATGCTGTGCGCATTTATGCGCGCAGTTTAAACTCGGTAATGGAAATGTTAATACTGATAAATTCAGACATAAGGACCTCTTCTTGCTTATAATTTTTGTATACAGTACCAAGACCTCATTTATGTTAGTAAAAGATCCCTTGTATATACAAGATATACAACATTTGATTGAAAAATCGTTTAGACACGTTTTATGCATTGTCACTTTGTTACAAAGAGCTAAGACAACAAAGCAGCCATTTGTAAGGTAAAATGGCTGAATTTCCTGTTCCTGGAAATTTCCAATTACTTATTCGAATTGAGTAGTTATTTGGCGGAAAACTGTTTGCGGTTATGAATGGTTCTGAACCGTTTTTAGTTCTTTGGTACTAGCCTCAAAAGAGGAACAAAACAGCTCAAAGTGCTGAGCCGAAATAAGTAGCAGGTACAGAATCGTTTTTAGTATTATGAAGGCACATTTGGTTAGGTGACAGAATAGGTAAAAATGTCACTTGCCGTTACGGAAACCGTCTCTGCCCAGGAGGACGAGGATATCGACGAATTTAACCCTCAGGCGAAACTGATTAAGTCTTTAGAAGTAAGTTTTGTGTTTACTCACATTTTAGTCATATCGATTTATCAGTGATTGTACCGTTATAAGTAATCATTAATTACGTGTATTTTTAGGGCAATGGAATCACAGCGGGTGATATCAAGAAATTGGAGGAGGCTGGTTACCACACTGTCGAAGCTATCGCTTATACTCCAAAAAAATTTTTCCTTAATATTAAAGGCATCAGTGAAGCGAAAGCGGATAAAATAATTCAAGAGGCTTCAAAATTGGTTGCTATGGGCTTTAGAAGTGCCACTGAGATTCATCAAAAGCGTGCTAATACAGTTTTTCTGACAACTGGATCTGCCGAGTTAGATCGGCTTTTAGGTGGTGGTATTGAGACAGGTTCGATCACCGAAATTTTTGGAGAGTTTAGGACAGGCAAGTCTCAATTATGTCACACCCTTGCAGTTAATTGTCAGTTACCTGTAGATTTGGGTGGAGCAGAAGGTAAGTGCCTTTATATCGATACCGAAGGTACTTTCCGCCCAGAGAGACTAATCGCTGTTGCCGAAAGGTACAAAATTCCTGGGGCAGCAGCTCTTGATAACGTTGCGTGTGCTAGAGCTTACAATACCGATCATCAAACTAAGCTATTAATTGAGGCAAGTGCTATGATGACAGAATCGAGATATGCACTTTTAGTTGTCGATAGCGCAACTGCTTTATATCGTACAGATTATTCTGGAAGAGGAGAATTAGCTGCAAGACAAACCCATTTAGCAAGATTCTTAAGAATGTTGCTACGAATAGCTGATGAACATGGAGTAGCCGTTGTCATAACGAATCAGGTTGTTGCCCAAGTAGATGGTGCTGCAAGTATGTTTGGTGGTGACCAAAAGAAACCTATCGGTGGTAATATCATTGCGCATGCAAGTACAACCAGATTATACTTACGTAAAGGGAGAGGTGAAAGTAGAATCTGTAAGATTTATGACTCTCCTTGTTTGCCAGAGAGTGAGGCAATGTTTGCCATCAATGCTGATGGTATAGGTGACGTTAAGGAATAAGAAGATTTAATGTAAAAAGTTGTATATTTAAAAAAAAAGTGTCTTATTCGAATCGACTGATTTGAGGAGGGTTTAACTTCGTCTTAAGTAACTGCATTGACAAAATCATATAATGTATGATTTAAAAAAAAATTATCTGAAATAAGTATAAAAAAAGCAGGAAATATTAGTGCAACAATTATGGAATAGCCATTATCACATTTTTCACTCATATAACTTGGCCCACTTGACGTAGAAGGCACAGAAAAGTGTTAAAATCTGAAAAATCATTAACAATAGGATGTGAAATTTGATGTAAAGATATGGTGTACAAGAAGTGTAATATTCTATCAAATTAGCTGGGCTGTTTGATATATATCGTTTTAAATATTCATTAATACATATAAGTAAACTGTAATCTGTAAATACTGAAATTTTCTTATATTAATACAAGCTATTTTTCATGAATCAAGAGGAAAAGAATATTTTTATTCATTTTCCCACATCTAATTTCTTAACCAGTTTCACTGGGAATGTTTTCTTTCTTACACTGCATTAAAACTTTGCAGTCAAAAACTAAATTATTAAGACTTGCACATATTATCTCAAGCGTGTTAAATATCCGCCGATATTTTATCGGGTATGTTAGTAAAGTTATCGTTGACAATAAACGTGCACCGAGAATCGTGCTTGAATCTGAGAGATGTGTCATGGAGACGGTAAAAGAAATGGAAGGGTATGCAATCCGGTCTTTTCGCGCGCCGGATGTTTACCAACGCGCATCCCACTTTCCTTTGATCCGATTATTTCTTGACTTAGAATATTCTTCAAGTCTCGTTTGAAGGTTTCTTGAGCAGCACAGGGTGCGTAATTTGACACATCACGAGAAAGTAGAGTTTTTTTGTGGTAAGTATGTATATCTGCAAATTCTAGGGGTATAGGTTAAGTTCAGAGTACGCCGGTAACGAAGCACATTTTGTTGTCTCCTTTTTTTATTATACGATGCTCAAATTATGCAAATCGTTATTTTTTCGAGGACCCGCCTGTCGGGCGGTGTTTACTCCACGGTCGTATTCTATGAGAAATTTAAAAAAAATGAAAAAAACTCCGTCGATCACCGATGTCAAGTGGAAGGTTAAGAATCTAAGAAGACATTCATGCCTGTGGTGGGTCAAACAATGCGATAATGTTTCATTTTTATGTGATATCAATTGATTTTAACGGTTGTAAAGCTTTCGTAATTTTTTTTATGACTACGTGACCCTGGTATATTGAAAAGCCTGTGAACCAAGTACATGCTTAAGTAATTGCTTTGTATGTACTTTTAGGTTATCACTGGAAGAAATATAGTGAATACTGAGCACATTATTTTTAAGGGTATTTTATTAAGTAAGGAATAGTTATGTACTTTCAAGAAATAATTTGTATGGGTTTTAAAATTTCTTCTAATCCATATGTTTATTATTTGATAAAAAAAGATTGCAATTTTACTTGTACAACATATGGCGTTGGAATTCAATATATGATCTTATTAATTTATTTTAGTCTGACCAGAGCAATTAAAACATTGGCAAAAATGAGTGATGATATTACATTTTATACGTTACCTAACGAACAACCAATAGCTGCTCTGAACTGTGAAAAGGCTTTCGCCCTATTAACGGAGAGAGAAAGGTTGTATGCTCATTATTTATGTCGTGCTGCTTGGAATGGTGGCCTTGTCGTACTGATACAAACTTCCCCTGTGTCCCCATGGATATTTGCTCTTTTACATAAGATCGTTATCGCTGAGTCAATGGATATTTTAAAACAATCAGCTCTTGATGCTGGTGTTACAGAAAATGAATTTACGGTAAATAGCATATCTTATTTTTATGGCGATTATAAGTTAGTGTTTAAAAAATAGATTTTTACTTGTAGGCATTTTTGGTTTATATTTGTGGGATACTAGCAAATTCTGGAAACTATAAATCATTGGGTGATAGCAAAATAATTCCAAACCTTCCGAAAGAAAAGTTTGAAGCCATTATAAAAGCTTCCAAAGCATACAAAGAGAATTCTGATTCTATTGAAAATATTTGGAATAAAATACAGAAGAGCATGTATTCCCTAGAAGGAAAAGTGAAATCTTTGGGACTTGGTGATAAAGGGATAACAACTTATTTCTCAGCAAACTGTACAACGGATGATGCCGAGTTAGTGAAGGAATTTTTGCAGAAGAAGGATATAGGAGCTTATAATACAAGATGTTTTAAAACAACTGAGACTTGGGATGATGCAGGTACTAAAAAGGAACGAAATGTTTATGAGATTAGATTAGCATCTATTGAAAAGGGTGAAGATAACAAGATTACATTACCTGAGGAGATATTTCAAGGTGCAAAGTTCAAAGTAACTAGAGGAGATTATAGTGAGTTACTGGAAGGAGTTGTAAGTAACTTAAAGAAGGCTAAAGAATATGCAGGCAACGAGACCGAGATATTAATGTTGGAGAAATATATTGATCATTTTAGTAGTGGCTCGCTCAATGACCACAAAGATGGGTCTCGATATTGGATTAAAAACAAGGCACCTGCTGTAGAGACATATATAGGTTTTATTGAAACTTACAGAGACCCAGTTGGGCAGAGAGCAGAGTTTGAAGGATTTGTTGCGATGGTAAATAGAGAAATGTCAAAAAAGTTTCAAAGGCTCGTCGAAGGAGCTGAAAAGATATTGACAAAGTTACCTTGGGGTAAAGACTTTGAAAAAGATCAGTTTTTGAAACCTGATTTTACGTCTCTTGATATACTAGCTTTTGCTGGATCAGGTATTCCATCTGGTATAAATATACCTAATTACGATGAAATTCGTCAATCAGAGGGTTTTAAAAATGTTTCCTTGGGCAATGTACTACCTGCATATTTGAAGCAGGATGAATTGCCATTTTTAACCAAGGAAGATCAAGAATTAATGGATAAATATAAAACAGATTCATTTGAATTGCAAATTGGACTACATGAACTCCTTGGACATGGTAGCGGTAAATTGTTCCGCAAAGAATTGGAAAAGTTTAACTTTGATCGTGAGCATTTAAAAAATCCTTTAACTGGAAAATTAGTGGATAAATATTACATAGATGGGGAGACATATGACTTTAAGTTTGGTGCTTTGGGATCATCTTATGAGGAATGTCGAGCTGAAGCTGTAGGTCTCTATTTGTGTTTAGAAAAGGATATTTTAGAGATATTTGGCCACACTGGACAGAAAGCTAAAGATATAATTTACGTAAACTGGTTGTGGCTGTTGTGGACTGGTTGCGGTAGATCTCTTGAACAGTATCAACCCGAGACAAAGACATGGTTGCAAGCTCATGCTCAGGCTCGTTACGTTCTACTAAAAGTATGTTTGGAAGCAGGAAAAGAACTCATAGTTGTTGACGAGACAGAGCCGGGAAAGAATCTTCTTCTTACATTACACAGAGAGAAGATACCCACTGTGGGTAAAAAAGCCATTGAAGAATTTTTGATGAAACTACAAGTTTACAAGAGTACAGGTGATGTTGTCGCTGCTAAAAAACTGTATGATCATTACAGTGAAGTTCCAGAGTCTGGACATTGGAGGGATATAGTTTTGGCTCACAAACAACCACGGAAGCTTTTTGCTCAGCCAAATACATTCGGTAAATATTGTAACTTAGTAATTATATTTAACAGATTAGCAAAAATTAATTCTTTTTATCTCTTTAGTTGGCAATAAGAAAGATAACGAAGAAGTGAAAGTGAAACATTATGAACCAACATTTAATGGCTTGATACAATCCTGGGTGGAACGATTTCCATCAGTGGAAACGTCGGATAATTTGATTGAAATTGCGCAAAGGGATGAACAGCATTTTGCGGTTTAAAACATTAAGCAGCAATATTACTCATAAAAGAGATTTTAATTTTGTGAAAGACAAAGGATTTTTATATAATATACACAACGCTTAATACGTACATCAATACAATATAAGAATGATTGTATACTACAAGTCGATTATAAAGGAATATTACTTTTGGGCGATTATGTAATTAGGTCCATGGACCTGAACATTTAAAACCTTTAAACAGAAACGGGGACCCACTTTTGCATGGATATTGGGAGCTACGGTGCTAGAGAAATGTACAGAGGAGCAATGATGCAAAGTATGGAATGATACGATCTCATATGTAGGTGTAATTCATTTCTGGCAGAGATGAGTTGCGTCGCCACTGAAGGGTAACAGGTGGCAAGTACATTAGCCGCCCGCACGAACCATCAGAGGGCAGCATAGGAGCGATCGCGCGATCCTGCTCGTGAGCAAACTCCCAACTCATCTCTGCTCCCAACTCATCTCTGGCGAGCGTTCCAGCAGAGATGCTGGTTCCAGTTTACTATGTATATCAGTGTGCATTTCTGAACGCGCCTCCAGGAACAATGGCGTATATGCGCGTTCGAAGTGCGCGTCGCCTCCGTCCATCAGTTTTGGCGGGAACGCCTCGCGGGTCGTGTTCGATTGTGCCATAATGGTGTCGGACGAGGCTCTCCGAGAGCATTTCGATGCAATGGGCTGTGCAGTCAAAGAAACTGCGGTTCTGCAGAAATGTAAGTCAGCTAAAGTTTATCCTTTTGCGTTCGGACCGAATGGTACCATCGGTGGGAACGGGTGTATTTCCTACTTTTTAAGGAACTCGCGCATCGCATTCCTTAACGTTGCTTCCCACAAACCCGCTTGCCTTAATTGAGCGTAATGTGTCAGGAATTCGTCTCATTACCGTTAATTGGAAGTCGAATAGCGGATGCTTCGGTGTTGAGGATTATTATTGTTTACATGATCACGCGAATAAAGGCTCGATTGCACCCTCGGTGCAACCGACTTAAAAAACGGTTATAAGAACGTGCGTACATTATTTTATTCGGTTAATGTAGTGGTGATTATTTTTTAATATTTGGGCAATCATGTACGTAGGTAGTGATTCTCTGTTCAAAGAATTTATCGATTCTGCTTCAGGCATGGATTTGTGCGATCTGTACAATTTAGACGAGGAGACATTCGTGGACAAATGGATAGCATTTGCCCTTCTTCGTTTCAAAACCATCGATTTGACATTAGATGGTCTCGGGATGATGGAACGAGTGGAATTGAAGAGGGTGGATAGAAAAGTACCGGAGGCTCGATTGGAACAGGACCTGTCTAAACTTGCCGTGTATAGTCCACATGCGACGAAGGAGTATCCTTACCAATATAACATTTGTGAAGCTAAAAGTTTGAATAATTTACTAAGATTTGCGAGATAATAATAATTTATTTGTTTTATTAATATACTTGTCCTTAGCGTTATATCAGTGAAGGCGAAAACATTCTTGAGATGTACGGTGGGAAGCATCTCAATACTCCAAAAGTAAGTTTTTACTTTACATAATGGTATTATACTTGTAGATTATAGATGATATGTTTACATCACCGTTAACGATTAATCCGGAATTAATTTATCGATGTTACGAATTGGTATTTTTTTTTATTTGTTAACTGCATTGCCGAAACTTGTACTTTGCTGCGAGCACAGTCGATGTTCATGCGAATCTTTATGAGATTTGATGATTCAATGTGCCATGCGCCCCTTATACTGCCCCTATGTTTTGGACTTTCTTCTGCCTCCATTGAAAGAGCATCCTTTGTGGGTATTGTTACCAGACTCGTGGAACCCCTGGGAAAGGTATATTCGAGATCTTACCAAGCTTTTGATTAGAGTCTTTTCAATTTCTACACAATTCGTACATTTCTCCTATGATAGAACATACCCATGCAATGTAAAAACAAAACCTGCGATGTAGTCTCAATTTGACACAAACGTTTGATAAGATTGATCCAGGAAAATCAGTTTCCCTTTAGTCATAAAAAAATTCCTCATATGCAGGACAGAACCACCGCTAAGTCTTTAACATTACGAGGTAGTCGACATGAGCATTGCAGAAATTTGCAAATTAACTTCGTACTCTTATCGAGCAACGGCGTTTCATTCACGCCTACAGTAAACAGAACGGTGGGAAATGGTTGTTTGGGTGGGAGTTTTCTGGTATCTCGCAATTTGTAAAAATATTTCCAACTCGAAGAAGGAGTAAAAGGAAAAAGGATCCCGACCGCACGCGGTCATCGAGAGATCGAGGGACTCGGAGAGGAAGTGGGAGAGGTCGAAGAACGAGTTCCGTGTACACGTACAGTAATGGACAATAGCATGTGTACTACCACGGCGGTTCGAGGTTGGTGAAATTCGGCCTCGAATAAGGGCTCCCCGAGGGTCCTTCAGGGTGCACGCGTCTCCCTTGATACCCACGAAGAGGTATCGCCTTTCAACGAGAGCACACCAGAGAATGCTCTGTCGTCGACTTAACCCTGAACCTCATAAGGATTTTCATTCAAATTATACATTCGGTTGAAATTATAATTTAAGAAGACGCGAAAGTAACATCCGAGGGATCAATCGTTCATGAAACGTTTCAGGAATTTTCTTCCGCCTGTTTATAGTAGTTACTATACTTGGATTTTCGGCACGATTCGTATGCCCTGTACGTGGTTAGAATGATTTGTCGTTAAAAATGTAAAATCATAACTTAGAGAAAAAAAAAATCCCTTGTACACGTTGGCTGCCGCTGAACACCGCTTCACGAATACAAGTTTCCGTACGTGTGCATGGCCGGGTAAAATGGCCGCCGCACCTCCCCTCTTCTCGAGCTTCGGTCTCCTCGTCTAAAATCTCACTTCACGCTCTATCCGTCTCTTCACAGATCCGTACCGGTCCCTCCAGCGTGCCTCTTCCTTCCCAATGGCAGGGTCTCTCGTTCTTCATCGGAGGAGGATCCGGAAGGGGGTAAAATCCCGACAAGAGAGCGGTGAAAAATCAGTCTCTCATCCAAGGGGTATACTCAAGTTCATACGGATCCTTTCGCATACGACCAGATTCGTATAAGAACTGTTGCATCGTTGCGAAATGGAGTCATTGGTCAACATTTGAAAGTCCTACATGAAATCGTTAATTTCCCTCGTTTGATCTCGAGAAACGGGGAGTTATACCCATTCTCGAGTCCTGCGATGAATTTTTTATGTGCGAAATTGACCGTCCTCGAATGTTTACCTGTGGACGCGGCTTCGCAACAATGCAACATTTCTTTTTATTTCTATGCGAGAATGATCCGTACGAACTTGGGAGTAGGGTACCTGGGTTCCTCTGGTGGGCTTTGCGATGATTTACGCCAGGTCGCGCGTGGCAACGCTGTCGCGCATTCTTCGCCCGGTCGGTACGTAGCGGCAATGACGTAACGAGTCTACCTGTGAACCCGATTCTTTCGGGGCCCCCTGCTAGTCCCACGAGCAAGGCCATGAAAGAGAGGGATATAACGGCAGACGACAGAGGCCGTCTCCGGGCGACCCGTGGCCCGCCCCTCTTGGGCCCCTCTTAGACCCCTCGGACCCCTCAGGCACCCGGAGGACCGCAAAAAGATCCCAAGGACCCCTCCGCGCGAAACCCACCGCCATCGCGCCGGCAAGGATAATTTGCGGATTCTTAACCCGAGACGCGGAGCCACACCGCAAATTACCGAACCGATACGATTGGACGGCGCAAAATGAATGCCCCCAACAATGCTGCGCGATCCGGGTGAACGCTCCCTCGCGAATGTCGAACCTCGACGGCCGGCAAGGGTGGCCCGCTGGTTTTGCATCGTCACCCGTGAGAATAAATCTCGAAGGGCGGATCGGTTACTTTCTATATACATGAAACGTGAAAATATAAAACTTTAGCATGTGATCGTGGAGGCCTCAAGGAAGAAGGCTATGCTCGTGAAATATTTCACGAATAAATGCGATCTTGGCTCTAGTCTAGGTTGAATGAACAATTTATTTTTTTTTTCTTTGTAATGAAATTTCACGGGGCCTTCCTAATCACGTGCTAATGTTTCGAATGATTTGGTGCACTCGGTATTAATGTTTTCATGTTTTAGGTGTATAGAATGACCCTTTCATATCACCTTAAATGTCCGGCTTGACAAGAGAGGACAAGTGGCGCCCGTGGGTACGGCCCTGACTCGTAGTGGTACCGGTTGTATGCTCGAGCCGGCAGTCAAGTTGACGGTCGCCTGGCGTGCCACGGCCCCTTGGCGAGAGGAGTAGTGTTGCCACATCCTTTGCGACCCAACTAGTCCGTGTTTCGCGAGATTCACGAGATTCACGAGATTCACGGGATTCACGAGATTCACGGGAGACTCACGAGATCCGCGAAATTCCCAGGATTCCTTCCACTGCGGGAAGGCCGATTTTCACGGATGTGCCCTCTCTGCGGAATATAAGACATGACAAGATATATATATTTAAGCATAAAATATGATACTAGGGCTCGGGGAGAAAATTTAGTTGGCACTGAAGTCATAGATGACGTTCTACGCGGGTTCAAAGGAGGACCAAGGTTTCGACTCGGGGAGCTTCTTGACACGCCCGGGTTCACCGGAAGCGCTTTGGTGAGTCCGCGACCTTGGTCTCTCGACGTCCGGGTTCATCACCGGGATGAGTCAAGGCCGAAGGTTCGTAGGACCTCTGTCGCTTCTTCCGGTGCCCCTCTCGCCCTCGTTCGTTCGTTCGACCTCTTCGAGGGATATTTTCGCTCGTGCGGCATGAACTTTCCATATTGTTACCTAAGGTTCGGTATAAACGAAATGGGCCGTACTCGTTATCGGCCAAAATTCGTCGCTATCATTGGGCCATTTTTGCTCCGTATAGCGGTGGAAGGATCTTCCTCTGGAAAGATCTGGACACTGGTCGAAGGAACCTCGGCCGAGGGTAGTTCGCTCTCGACCGACCTCCCGCGAGGCCGAGAGCAAGCCGAGCGTCCCGACGCCGAGTTTCCTGCGCCGTGGTTACATCCTCGCATTCCCTTGTCCGGTTTCTCGTGCCACAGGTGGTTGCCAGTGGTCGGGTTCTCTCTCCCCCTGGGGAGAGAGAGGGAGAGAGAGACCGTCTCGGTGCTTCGGTACTCCTGAACCCCCGTAATTCCCGCCAGAAAAATCATCCAGATAGATTGCCGCCATTATCCCCGCTCGAGTCCTCTCCCACAAAGGGCCTGCCTCTCGGCGTCGGGGAGAGAGCTCGCCCAGGAGAGACGGCGAGGCAAGGGAGAGCGAGAGAGAGAGAGAGCCGCGCTCGCCGGAGAAGGGAGCGGTTAGGTTAGGTTAAGTTAGGCGCGCGGTCGCGATAGGCGGCGCCACCGGCGCGCGCAGCCGGAGCGGGAGAGGGCCCCCTCTCCCGGCATTCCCCTCGAGCCCGGCCAGATTTCTTTCAAAGGGAATAATTTCAGTTTTCAAGGACGCGGCCGGCCGCCGCCATCGCCGCGCTCTGCGAACAAAGCGCGCTCGGTCCGGCTTTCCTTCGCGGCGCATGCGCGCGAGATCCAGCCGAAACCAGCCACGCCGACCGATTTCCGGGAGTTCGGAAAGTCGGAGCGACGAGTTCCTCCGCGGTGCCGGGTAATCGCCGGTCGTCGACGTAGCGCGATGCCCGATGACCGGAGTTTCGCGGACCGCTCGCGACCGGTCCCACGACTGGCCGGTTCCCCTGGATCTTTTCCGCCTGGAGAGCCGGTGGTCGCGCATGCGCCCCGCGAACAAAGCGCCCGCGCCCCGGCGCGGCCTATCCGAGTTCCGAGAGAGTCACGGGTTTGAGCGGCGCCTCTCCTCGGTCGGCGTTTTTCGTCGTCCCCCCTCCCGCCGCTCGTCCAGTCTCCTCCCCGCCCTCGAGGACGCGACGTCTTCCCAGATCCATCGAGGGAGTCCACCTCCGGAAGGAGTCGCGGGAAAGTCATCGCGGTCGTTCGTCTCGCTCTCACGATCTCTCCGTCGATAAGGTCGCGACGCTTGCTCGCGTCCCGAGTACGCCGAGGGAGCTGGGAAGGAAAGTGCGGGAGTCGAGGGCCGTTTCCTCGCGTTCGAGCCCTACCGCGTTATCCGGGGCGCCGAGGGATCTCGACCGTGGAAAGGGGACGCGGGAAGGCGCCGCGTCGACCCATCTAGGTGGCTCCGTAGTCCCGGGTCCGTGCGGCGCCTCTCCCCGGTCCGCGCTTTCCGTGGCCTCGCCTCCGGCCCGTCGGCGCTCTCAGTCTCCCCGTCGACCCCCGCGCGACGAGTGGCGCGCTCCTCGGACTCCTAGGGAATTCCCGAGCGTCGCGACGCCGAGGCGTCCACTCGCCCGGATACCGATGTGCGCGACCGTTAGTGCCAGTGCGCGCGCCGAGTGCCGTCGGCCGGACGTCCCGGAGGGACGCCGCGGCGTGGCGTCCATTCCGGCCGGCTCCTCGAAGCTTCCACCCGAGCCGCGTCGTCGCTCCTCTTCCCTTGAGATATATTCCCCGTAGAATTT